CGCACTCCGCATGAGGTTTAAGCCACCGGGTCTGGGACGTGAACTGCGGTCGACTACATGGAAGTCCAACAACATAGCCATTATGCTAATGGCTGGTCCCTCCAACAATTCTATTTTTAAGCATAGTCTTTTTACATCCATTTTACATAGCACTTAGGTAAAATATTCCCCACTCTTGCCAAGCCTCCAATTTCCTATCTCATCGTCTTCACAGAAAATAAAATACATTGCTAACAAGAACATGTAAGTTATATAAATGAACCATTTAGTGATGTGTATCAAGAGTTTTAAAATATCAATAGCCCTGTCTACTAATAATAACTTATAACAAGAAACCAACCAATTATCATTATGAATGACACAAGAAAGAAACATGTTGATTGCAGCCACGTTTATAATGGCAAAGATTTGTAAACCCCTGCATGACCAATGATAGGGAAAGGCTAACCATGGTCTGGGCTATAAACATAATGAGATATTAAGAAGTCAACTATCGATTGATTTCAGTATATACTTAATGATACAGAAAAATACTCATAGTACTCTAAGTACAAAGCATAGGATATCAGTTAACACATTTGGATCCAAATTTTGTTAATATATGTGCATTCATATATAAAATGCATATTTAGGGACCAGCAGTTAGCATAATGGCTATGTTGCTGAACTCCAATGTTGTCAACCATGGTTCAAGTCCCGGACCAGGTAGCTTATACTCATGCCAGGCGCATGTGCATATGTACCCAAGATTCCGAGAGGAAAATAGAGGAGGAGAGATTGTGGCATGGCCATCCCCCTGGGGGGTAATTTCTCACTTTCTGTCTCTCTGTCTCTCTCTGTTTTTCTGGCAAGCGCATGTGCTCTATAGCAAAATAAATAAATAAATAAAAATAAACAAAAATGCATATTTAAAAGTATAGTTAGCTAAAAACATAAATAATAAAATATTAACATTAATTACTTATGAATGGTATAATCATAGGGGTCACTGTTTCATCTTTTTATTTTTATGTGCTTTCTAAAATGTGTATAAATACAAATAAGCACATCTTTCCTAATTTGTTTTATCATTTGATCATTAGGTAATAACTGATGTTTAGAGAAGGGTCTCATAGTAACACTATGTATGAAGCACCTGAATGGAAATAAATTTAATTTGTCATCAAGAGACATCATCAAGAGACAACTAATTCTCACCACAGACATTGGGAAAACTCACCAAGTCTTGATGGTACTGTTCTAGTGCTACTTACCATGACCAATATTTTATTTAAAGATACACTTCTGAAAGTATAACTGTTTTATTTTAGTAATTGAAAACTTCCCATCTCTGCTTTCTACTTTCTTCTTTTATAATCCTAGGGCTATTTATGTCTATTTCTGAAAACTAGGGTACAAAGTATTTGCATGATATTTTATATTGCCTTTGAAATTTTGACTATAAAAAATATCTTTCATATTTTAAATTTTAAAGTATTTGCTTTCAAAATATGAGTGAAATGTGTAATCATCAAAGGCTAATTAAATTTCTCCAATCTGGAAATAAGAATATCTGAATATTTATATAGGATTAAAAGATATGGGGACCAAGCACACATACCCACACAGGACTAACTTGTAACTCCTAGTTTAAAAACTCTAATAAGAAAGAGTATGCAATTTGATGATGAGTGATTTATTAAAAATTATCTTTCCTGACAAGCTGTATTCTCTGCCACCTCCATCATTTTCCTAGCTGACTATGTTTCCATCTCATTCAAACCATCATAGATGATGAATGCTTTGAACAGTCACACTGGGATGCCGACTTATCTCTGAAACCAAGCTCCTTCCCTGTTTTTATGTGTTTTCATCCTAAAACAAACTCTGAACCAAGGATTTGGGTGCAAGTAAGTTATTAGGGAGGAAATCCTAGGAGACAGGTTGAGGGAATGAAGAAGACAGGGAAGAAGGGTATGCTTGAAATGGGTACTTCTGGAGGTAAATAAACTCATTCTTCCTGGAGACCTTTGAGAGACAATGTGGAACACAGCTTAGAAATGTCCCACTACAAGACAAGGAGGCTAGGGTTTGACTCCTATGTATGCACAAACACTTCACTACCATTGTTTGAGGATCTTCCAAAGACACTAACTTTGAGGCATTTCCAGACATCCCCATGAGCAGTCTATGCATGTCCATGGGCAGAGAGAAGTGGAAGATATTCTACAGGAGGCAGCTTTCTGCAGAGACCTCCAGTAATGGATAGAGCTCCTGACTACTTCCTGTGCATGGAATGAAATGTGGTCTAGAGAAGTACTGCTTTGGCTTGTCATTATTATTATTATTATTATTATTATTATTATTATTATTATTATTATTATTATTATTATTATTGTCACTTGTTTCAAGCCTAATCTCAGCACTAAGGAGGGATGTGACTTTGAACCAGTTACAGAACCTTCTGGAACCTCATTTTTCTCATTGGGCCTAGTGCTTTGTCAGGATGCTTTGTAAGTGTTTTGTAAGTTTTAGATACTTAGACATAGCCCAAAAGATTATGAGATAGTCCTTTAATACAGTACTGGGCTTATTTTCTTTTTAAAAAGTTACTTATTTCTTTCATACAAGAGAGAATAAGAGAGATTGACAGACAGGTATCCCCAATAGGGTCTTCATACTGTAGTTCTCACCCCCAGTCCCAGCTGGCCTGGCCCACAGGTTTGTGCCTAGCTTGATCAGGAAGATCCTGGATCAGGAACCCAGGACCTTTCCCATGCGAATCCAGTTGCATTACCATTGCACCAACAACTGGCCCTTGATTTTCTACTGAGGAGCTATCTTCCAGCTTTGTAGGGCAGGGGCTAATTTGTAGATTACTTCCTATAGAGATGCAAATAACTTCCATCTGATGAAGCAGAGCATCCCAGAGCTGACAGTTAAGGCCCTCTTGGACGTGATCCCACCAGAAATCTTATACTAGTCTTGTCTGTAAACATCTGGCTTTTAAAATGTTCTTCAGATTGATTTTAATATCTCAAGGGCTCTTCATTAGTGACTAGGTTAAATAAAACATTTGGCATATATTCATTTTATGTGCACCTGAGAGTGATGATTTTTGCTCTATTAAAAATTAAATTTTCAGAGTTCACACTTTTTTTTACCATTTTATTTATGTACAATAAATATACAATAAATATGTTTGCTAAAAAAAAAATCATTGAATATCTAGGTCAGGTTAAGGTAACTGAAAGGGCTTTTATAAGTAGTTTATGTTGTCTAGACCTTAAATATGATGCAAATGCAGTCTGGGGCAAAATGGGAAATAACATCTTTCTAAAGGTTGGTTTAAAAATTCTTATCCAGTAGGTTATGATGTTTCCTTTCTCTGGGAGCAAGGTTGATTCATACCTTTCTGCTAGGCCACCATTCACAGGCATAGCCAAGAAAACAGGGTAGAGACCACCAAAAACACGACTAACCAATCCATTTCATGTTATGGTACAGGTTTCACAATTCAGATCACCTGTATTCAAGGAAAGATTTACAAAACTTTTTTAAGATACACATACTGTAAAAAATGGGATCACTGCCCTTGGTAAGCCAGCAGGTATAAGAGCTTTTGTCACATTCAAGGTGTGTCAGAAAAGACTGTTGTCTAGTAAGCCACAGAAAGCAGCACTAAGTCCAACATATGTCGATCCAAGTTCCAGGAGATTCCTTTCAGCTTCTGGAAGTTGGTTAATTTTTCTGGTTATGATATTGAAAATTAAGTTTTCCTTGATAGTTTCATCTAGTTCATAATTTTCCATCTTATGCTTTTCTCCCTGCAGCCAGTGCCTCAGCCAGGTCTTCCTCAGCCACACTGTGGCTCACTGTAACCTTTGTTCAACTCACCTGCCAGAGTTCACACTCTTATTTTAGTTGTAAAACTCTCCAGTCTGAGCTTCCACAGACTCACTCCAAGTAAAGAGATGAGAGTGCAGGGGTTGGCAATCCTGAGTATTTTTTTAAAGAATTATCTTATTCAACTTCATTTATTTTAATTTGACCAGAGAGGGGCAGAGTGTGTGAGAAACAAAGAGAGAAAGTGAGAAAACAAGCCACCAGGTCTGGGACTTGAATCACAGTTGGCCATGTGGGAGTCAGTACCCTTAACCACCACCCCACCTGCCGGTCCCAATCCTGAGTCTCTTAACAGATGCTGAACACTCTCTCTGGGTCTGTGGAGTAGAGTGTTGAGGTTGCTTTTCTAAAGGCTCCCCCGGTAACTTCTGGCTTTTTCTTTGCTTCCAAACCCCCTCTTTTACAGAAGAGAAAATTGTAAAAAGAAGCAAAGACCACCCAGTGAGAATAGAGAGAATTTTCTTAGTTCAAGCTTGTTATCCAAGGAGCTGGTCTCCATCACTGTGTCCTATAGAGACTGCAAGGTGGCCAGAGGGTGGGAAAGCTTCATAATGGGCAAGGGAAGTCTTCTAGGATGTCCTGACTGGAGAAAGTTGGCTAATGCAGTTGTGGGTGGGCTGACTTAAAGCAGGATATCCTCTGTGATTGGTTTGGGGAGCAGACCTGGTTTCCTCTGTATGGTCCTAAGCTGGAAGAGGGGATGGAGGCACCAAAATGAGTGAAAATATCTGTTACTGTTTATTATTTTGGTCATATTGCCACAGAAATTGTAGCTTGGCTTCCTGGGCTGGTTGCTGCAGATATGGTTGGGGAAGGTATATCAGAATTCTATCTTTATATATGACCTGGCCATATGTATGACAGGGTCCATTTGTATGAGAGGGTCTCTAAAAAGTTCACTGAAAATGTGTATTGTGAGAAAACTATTCATGAATTTCAAAATTTCTCTGCACCAAAATAAACTTATCCTTTAATTCCATTTTCCTGTGAACTTTCTTTGAAGTTCCCTTTATATTCCATCTTCTAAAAGGGAGGTGTAAGTAGGTTGAGTTGTGTGAGGTCAACAATCAGTGGCTAAGGTAAGATTCCATATTTCCTGTGAATTCCACCCTTAGTGTAATTGTAAAGAGCTAAAGTGCCTTTGGTTAGGAAGTAAAATAAATCCCAAAGGCCCAGATCAGTGGTCAGTGAATAGCAGAAACCAGGAGCCCGGAGCAGGAGACCTGGAAGGGCAGCTGGTGAGTCCTCAGCAGGGATCCCAGGGCTTTCCATAGGTTAACTGAGACTTCAAAAGGGTGATGAGGGGCTAGCTGGTGGTATGGTGATTAAGGTGTCGGACTCCCACATGGTTGACCACAATTCAAGTCTTGGACCTGGTGCCTCAGTTTCTCACTTTCCCTTTCTCTCTCTGGTCAAATTAAAAATAGCCAGCAGGTGGCATGGTGGTTAATGCACTGTATGCTCCCACATGGCTGACCACAGTTTCAGTCCTGGACCTGGTGGCTTGCTTTCTCACTTTCCTTCTCTCTCTCTCTGTGTCTCTCTGGTCAAATTAAAATAAATGAGTGAATAAATAAAATTAAAATAAATAATTATTTAAACAAGAATAATAATAGATAAAATAATTTTTTTAAAGGGTGATGAGAACTAAAGACTGAAGGGCTGCTTGTAGTTGGTGAAACTTGGTATTTACATGACTTCTGCCACCCCGGAAAATGGGGTTACGTCTTCATTTATACTTAGATACTATACATTGGACCTGCTGTGTTCCTTCTTCAGGAATCTGCAAACAGCGCTTGACATCAGGGCTTGTTTTGTCCCTTATCTGAGAACAGCATTACAAACAGACCCAAGTAGCTATTGCAACGGGCCTGGATGGGACGCCTTTTGGATCAGTCATTCCACTCACGTGAGCTTATGCCTAAACCAGTATGGTAATGAAAGTAATTTAACATACATCTATAATTAATTTGTTACACTTTTCCTACTGCTGGAAAATCATACTATTTTAGAAAAGTTCATGGAATTAATCTCCCCAAAGAGAGATGAGATGGAAAGCCTTCAGAAATAAATGGTTTTGTTTACTCTTAACCATGTGAGTTTTAAGAGGCAATTTTTGCTATAGGTCAGGGTTAATTTAGTGTTTCAAATTTGTCTTTTAGATAGCTGTATAAAGTCAAAAACCTTCTTTTTCCCACCAGATAAATGGGAGATCTGCAGCACAAAAACTATTTTTATTCTCATATGGTTCCTACAATCTGTTATGGGCAATAGATAAGTTTATTTTATTTTTTATTATAGGAAGACAATACAAAGGCATGAGATATTAGGAAAAAGATATTACTGTATCTTGAGAATAAAGAGATTATTGTACATTCTTAGTATAGGTATCACTAAATGTTTTGAAAGTGATTCATATGCAAAAGTGCATACTCATTAAATCTAGATGTGACTGACATTTGGCCAGATTGTTAAATAAGGTTACCAATTGATCCTGGCTTTCCAGGGATGTTCCTAGTCTTAGCACTGGACATCCTCTGTTCCAAAAAATCCCTTGCTGTCCTGAGCAGGCAGCTAGTTAGCTTACCTAAGATTTCAAAGGATTTAAGTTAAACAGCTTTGATTTTGAAAAATGTCGATTGGTATTAAGTAAGGACAAGTCCTACACTTTATTTTGGAGAGTAGATTTCCAAAATGTGACAAGAAAAAGTTGATTAGAAAAATACAGGAGCCAGATTGCAAATGATGCATAATTCCTAGAATGGCAATTTTAATGAAATCATCTAAGACTTACCTCTCATTTAATATCCAGTTAGCACTGTGAGATAAAGACAGGAGTCTGATTCTTTGATCCTTACGGTCTGCTTCTTCTACTCTCTCTTTTCTTTCTTTCTTTTTTCTTTTTTTTTTCATGATAGGGCACATGTTTGTACATGAGAGTATAAGAGAGAAATGAGCAGCCTTCTCAGGGTCTGGTCTTGCCATATTCCCTTCCTCTAGTCAGATCTTAGGCACTAGAGCTCATGCCTAGCATATTTCAGGTGATGAGGTGGGGATTTCAACTGGGGTTGCATGTGGGATCTACCTTCTCTTGAGTAGCACATTACCCCTGTGCTATGGAGCAGGCCCCATGCCACTATTTTTTTTTTTAGGTCTAGGTCTGTGGTTCTCAGAATGTGTTGCCGAGAGCAGTAGGATCAACATCACCTGGACACTAACTAGGAATGCAATTTTTTTTTTTTTTTGGAGAGGGTTTCGCTATAGGGCACATGCGCTCGCCAGACAGACAGAGACATAGAGACAGAAAGCGAGAAATCACCCCCCAGAGGGGATGGTCATGCCGCAATCCCTTTTCTTCCATTCTCCTCTCGGGATCTTGGGCACGCACGCACACGCGCCCGATGTGAGTTTTAAGCTACCGGGTCCGGGACGCGAACTGTGGTCGACTACGTGGGAGTCCAGCAACATAGCCATTACGCTAACTGCTGGTTCCCACTAGGAATGCAAATTTTCAGGCCAGCTAGTAAAGTGGTGGTTAAGGCAGGTGGATCCTACATAGCAACTCTATGGTTCAAGTCCCAGACCCAGTGGCTTGAAAAAACAACTGGGATGTGTGTGGGTGGGTGGCTTGAAAAACACACTGGTATGTGTGTGTGTGTGTGTGTGTGTATATGTAGAGTGTAGGCACACACTCTAAAAATCTCCAGAAGAGAATGGAGGAAAAGGGATGATATAGCCATACTCCTTGGGTGGGGGGGTATCAAATATCAAAATATAGAAGAAATATAAATGAACGTTCTCAAGCAGCAGAGTTACTGAATCTAAAACTCTGAGGGGAAAGAGGCAGAAATGAACTTTTTACTGAGCCTTCCAAGTAATCCTAATGCATCCTAAATTTTGAGAACTAGCAACTGTGAACAATTCTTCCTAATCTTTTTTATATCATGAGATACATCAAGAATGAGAATTTAAAATATAATTCATGGGTGAATAAATGGGACTACTTGGAGCTAGCTGTAGAAAGGGCTACAATGTCACTTTCTTGACATCTCTGTAATACATTCAGGACACATGTTTCCGAATATTGGATGAGGGGAATAGATGGCTATGCCTTGCTGTCCCCAAATCGCCACTCTTTCTCACCTGTGATACCAGCCAAGGTGGAATCTGTGACAAGTAATGGCCTCCTTTGTGGATCTGATGCTGTTTAAGATTCTAATAAACAAAAACTTCAAAATTCCTCTGCACAGACAAACCATAAAAATTAAAGATAACCTGAGCAATATGGTTCTCTTCTATGTTTCCCGAAACTCTGTGTAGTAGGGCATTCTTTGGGTTACTTTAATTTAGTCAAGGGATAGTGAAGAGGGATGAGCAAGCCAGATGAGTTATGCTACATTTTCTATTTCTCCTTCCTTCCTTCCTTCCTTCCTTCCTTCCTTCCTTCCTTCCTTCCTTCCTCCCTCTCTCCCTTCCTTTTTTAATTCCTTCTTTGCCATATCACATTGCATCCTTTTCTTTTTAATAAACTCCTTTCCTTATTTAATAAGAAATAAGTTTGGGTTTGTCATTTTTTTCAGCATCTAAGGGAGACTTTGACCAACGTGTCTTGGGCGGGGGTGTTTTACTCAACAACAAAGCTGGAACCTGATCAAATCGACAACCAGAAGCCAAGGCATGAGTCTGGCAGTGAGTTCTCCATACCCAAAAGGCAACAGATTGGAATAACAGCTTCATAGAACTTGCAGTTTTTGGTTGTAAGGATCGCAACTTCATACAGGAATAAATGACTTGAATAAATGAATTTGCAATTCAGGATGGATGATGTCAACACATTAACCAATATGTGGGAAGTTGTGTCAGAAAATACTTAGCCTTCGACTAGAAATGTAGATGTTCTCACAATGGAAAGTAACCAGAAGTATATTTTAAATTTCAACAACCAAGTGGATGCCTTCCAGATATGCTTGAGTTTATTTAGCACATGGCTTTGTGAAGATTTATGTAGTTTAGTTCCAAAACAGAAACTTTTTTCAATTTGAAGAAGCATTTCAATTTTTTAAACTAATGTAAGTGTTCCTTGACTTTTATAAAATCACTTATAATCATTCAGCATGAATTAAACTGGACAAAGAATGTCCAATTAGGAACAACTTCTAAAGCATTCTCTTCAAATCATTAAATAATATTTTCAAACTCTCAATAGAACACATACTAAGGGACTTTAAAAAGTTTGTGGAAAATTGAATTGAAGTATGAGTTTATATCGGTGCAAAAAATGTTTGAAATCTGTGTTTAGTTTTCTTATAATACACGTCTTCGATGAACTTTTTGAGAACTCCCTGGTATATCTTCTAGTGTATTCATTGCTTCATCATCCAAATTAATGCCATTTTGAGACAATTTTATTCTTTTTTTGGAGAGGTTTTCGCTATAGAGTGCGTGCGCTTGCCAGACAGAGAGAGACATAGAGACAGAAAGCAAAAAATCACCCCCCAGGGGGGATGGTCACGCCGCAATCCCTTCTCCTCCATTCTCCTCTCGGGATCTTGGGCATGCACGCACATGCACCTGGCGTGAGTTTTAAGCCACCGGGTCTGGGACGCGAACCGCAGTCGACTACGTGGGAGTTCAGTGACATAGCCATTACGCTAACTGCTGGTTCCCGAAACAATTTTATTTTCATAACTTTTACTTCTTCAAATTAAGTTGACATGACAAGTGAATTTGAGTGACCCTAACATGAAGACTTTAAATAAGATCAAAGAGGTACACAGGTGCAAAACCAGATCAATTTCCATAAAGAGATGAAATTCTAAGGCTGTCCTAATGTTTCATATATGGTTTTTACCCAACTTTATGTTTTGTTTTGTTTTGTTTTTCTGTAGATACATGCACTTGCTGGAGAGAGGCAGAAAGAGGGAAAGTGAGAAATTACCCCCCAGGAGGAGTTGACCATGCTGGAATCCTTTCTTCTCTCAGGATTTTGGACACACATGCACACATGACCAGTGTGATTTTCAAGTGGCTGGGTCCAGGACTCAAACTGTGATTGGATATGTGAGAATCCAGCACCTTAACCACCATGCCACCTGCTCTCTCCCATCCAATGTTTTTCCTTAGTGAGATTTTTTTTGCTTGTTTGTTTTTGTTTTGTTTTTGGAGAGGTTTATGATATAGGGTGCATGCACTCGCCAGAAAGACAGAGAGATACAGAGAGACAGAAAACGAGAAATCACCCCCCAGGGGGGATGGCTACACTGCATTCCCTTCTCCTCCATTCTCCTCTCAGGATCCTGGGCATGCATGCACATGCACCTGGCATGAGTTAAGCCACCAGGTCCGAGACTTGAACCATGGTTGACTACATGGGAGTCCAACGACATAGCCATTGTGCCAACTGCTGGTTCCACTTTTCTTTCTTTCTTTTTTTTTTCAAATGAGCATGTTTTCAAAAAAGAGCATTTTATTAAGAATTTGATTTTAATTAAATCTGTTTCAAAGATACAGCAATTAAGGAGTTCACGGGACTTTAACAAAATTTTAACATCAAGCTGGTTTCCTAGAATAAGCAACACAGCAACAGTGAGCAAATGTTACACTTTGCAGAATTCATCCTATAGGTATGTGCCTGTTGTGAGTGCCTGCCTGGTATGATTTGGGAGGCTCTGCCAATACCTTCCTCCTCTCTCATAACTATGTCTTTATTTGAACTTCTGCTGTGCCTAATTACGTAAAATTAGCTCTTTCTTTCCAGATGCAAATCCTCCTGGGAGGATTTTTACTTGAAGTTAATTTATGATAAGGTGCGGGCAACTTACTAGAATTGCTCTCCTTTCCAAGAAGAGACTGAGGGTAAAAGAAAAAGACTCCTAGCCAAGGAGGGAGGAAAGGTGATCAAATGCCAACTTCTGAATTTTATACAGTGTCTGAACTAATTAGGCAAATCCAATCTATTATAAGACATTATGTATTTTCACAAGGCAATTCATCCAAGTTAGATGAAAACAACCACGCTGCTATGGATAGAACTTTAATAACATTAAATATTTATTGTACTATTATATACCAGTAAATACGCATGTTAATTATCTCATTTAAATCATTTCTTTCTTTTTTTTTTTTTCCACAGAGAGATTTTTGCCATAGGGCATGTGTGCTCACCAGAGAGGTGGAAAGGGAGAAATCATCCCCCCAGAGGGATAGCCATGCTGCAATCCCTCCTCTTCTACTCTCCTCTTGAGATTTGGTGCACACATGTACACGCACTCAGCATAAGATTCAAGCAACTGGGTCCGGGACTTGAACCTCAGTTGTTCATGCAGGAATCCAGCATCTTAACCACCACGACACCTGCTGCCCCCAAATCTTTTATTTGTTTATTTATTTATTGCCAGAGGGCACATGTGTTCTCTGAAGAGAAGCAGATAGAGGAAGAGAAAAAGAAAAAAATCACACTCCATGGGGCATAGTTAAGCCACACTCCTTTTTCCTCCATCTCTCCCTTCTTTCAGAATTTTGGGTGTACACACACACAGACACACACACACACACACACACACACACACACACACACACATCCAGCATGTTTTTCAAGCTGCAGGGTCCAGGATTCCAGTCACATGATCAGCAATGTGGAATCCAGCTACCTTAACTATCACGCCACAGGCTGGTTCCACGTTTAAATCTTACAATGGCTCCCCTCAACAGGTATTATGACCTCATTTAAAAGATGAGAAACTGGATGGTGGTGCAGTGGTAAAGCATTTCGCTCTTTGAGGTGGACCCACTTGGGAAAGTTCTAGGTTTGTCTCTGGATACCTCCCTAAACATGCTCAGAACATACATGTCCATAATCTGGGGTTGGCTGAGGCTGGGCATCGTAACACCTATGGGAGTGCCTATCTCTGTCTCTCTCTCATTCACTAATGAAATAAATAAATAAATAAATAAATGAAACAGAAGTTTAGAAGCAGTGCGTACCTCACTCCACCATTTACAAGAAACACATGAGTAAAACTAGGAAATGATTTGGTGCTCTGAATGAACAACTATAGGACTCTGCTGAGAAAGCCAAGGCCTTCCCTCCCCTGGGGCTGTGTATCCTGTTGGGGGGGGTGGTGGGAGGACTGTCTGAGGTGTTAAAGGAAATTTTCAAAGGCCAGTCAATAGGAGATGATTTGAATTAAAACACACCCCATGTTGGGAGGGATGCTCCTGGGATAGGCAGCTCTCTACTCTTCCAAAAAATGTCAAACTACTCCTGAAGCCCTTGATTTAATCCAGAGCTCACAGAATTTGCTCTGCTCTGGCCTTCTTCCAGAAAGCTGTTATTTCCTGGTTTTGCAGATCTGACCTGACTTAGAAACAGACAGCCCCGTTCCCTGGAACAGCCACTTCTGGGCTCAGCCTTTAGAACAGAGCACATTTTGTGCCTCTCAGAGACACTCAGACAGCACAAGACCCTGTGTGCAGACACGTGGATGATCTTTTACCCAGAAGAGTGAAATGAAGAACTGAAGCAATTTTATAAAGCAGCTTGGGCAAAAGCTTGGAATGGGTGCTTCCGATGTCCTGCAATGTCCTCATTAGCCACATTGTTGTCCCACTCGTGACTCTTCTTCACCCTGACAAAACACTTTTTAATTGTGTCCACAGAGAGCGTTGATACCATTGAGAACAACTGTACACAATCCTGCAGCGGTAACAGCTGCGGAAAGAAAAGTCAGTGCCCAGAACCGGAAACGAAACTGTTGGAGGAACAAAAGCACCCTCCATTCCAATAAGCCACAGTCAGTTGTGTGTCCTCTTTGTCTTTGACAGAAATGTCTTAATACCAGATGACAGTTGTGAAGAGAAAATTCCCACCCTTCCTTTATTCAAAGCTCTCCTATCATCCGAGGGCAATGCCCATCCAGGGGCCCTTACAGGGTAGGAAGGAAAAGGAGTGTAAAGCTAGGATGCTTAACTCAAGGTCTACACTCCGCTCTCTGAATGAGCCCAGACTTGCTCTCACCAGGGTTCTGTGAAGAATAACAAATGAACGATCATAAACCAGCCTGACACCTCTGAGTGTGGTGTGAGTGATGGAACCTATTTTTCTCCCGTGGCTTTCCCTCCTTTTTATATAGAGCACAGAGAGTTTGGGTTTCATGCCTGTGCTATGTTACGTGATCCCTGCAGCTTTTCATGAGTAGCAAATGCCCCCCTCAGCTAATACCCATATTCAGCTACACAGGCTTGTGTTCCGTGGAGACAGCTTTTACAGACGAGGCTATTGTATGCGATTCTACCTTCCGTGGTCATGATCTTGTGATTGTAAATATGTAAAGAACACGCTAATGAGAAAGAGGCCCTCCCACACACACACATGTATTTTTCTTCATGGCAACAGCCACTGAGTGCAGGGGGAAAAAAAATCCAGATCCGTCTTGAATTAAATCTGTCACTGTCTGAAAGAGTCAAGGTTGAGGTTTCTTCAAAATCGATTTGGAGGGAAAG